TCTCTCTCTCTCTCATTCTCTCTCTCTCTCTCTCTTTCTCTCTCTCTCTTTTTCATTCTCTCTCTCTCTCTCTTCTCTCTTTCTCTCTCTCATTCTCTCTCTCTCTCTCATTCTCTCTCTCTCTCTCATTCTCTCTCTCTCTCTCATTCTCTCTCTCATTCTCTCTCTCTCTCATTCTCTCTCTCTAACCATTCCTAGGATGACCCCTACCCTGCCTTCCATTACAGATTTATACACCCTCCAAAAACTAAGTTACTTGGAACTGCCAGTGATGTGGTGAGAATAATGCTGGAATCATATCTTAGTAACGATCATGCATCATATGCAGATAACTGGTACACAAGCCCCTTATTCAGCAATTTCCTGCAGGTGAACATGACATGCACGTTACAATGCTTGAAACACAAAAACGTGCCAGAGTTCAACACAGGTATTGGTACTGGTGAGGTGCAGGTCTTTCATGCCAATGACATGGCATTTTGGTGACATAACAAAAGTGATGTGACACGGTTGATATCCATCCACTAGCACGAAATGAAAGACACTGGAGATGTGAATATAGAAACCAGCTGCTGCTATTGATTACACAAACAATGTGCACTAGGTGGACAAATGTGATATGCAGAATGGGTTTGGTGACTGTCTGGAAGAGCCACAACTGGAACATGAAACTTTTCTTCCATCTTGCTGACACTGCAATGCTGAATGCATACTAAATGTACCAGACAGACTGCCATATCCTCACTTGTCTGTTATCAGAAACAATACATAAATACTGTACCAGGTCACACTTGTACATGTACCACTGTACTGATCACAAATACCCTCTCATTTGAAGCATGATCACTCTCTAATCAGACTTCCTGCTACAGACAAGAAATGGGCTCAAAAGATGTTATATCTGTGCACAAGTCAAGGCAATCCAGACATACAAGTTTCCTGTAGGGAGGAATGTAAAATATCACTGTGTATGAAGCCATGTTTCAGAGACTTCCACAAACTGCAACAGTTTTAAGACTAAGACCAGAACCTGTATACACATGTACATATTGCAAACAATCGCAGAAAGGCGATCTTAAAAATGCAGTACAAGCCACGTGGGGTAGAAATCTTTAAATCGAAAACTTTCACAGTTCTCAATGTGTTATCAGGAGCTATGCAATGTTGCAAGGCAGCAACTGAAGGATTTAGGGGAAGTTTTTCCTCACAGAGTAGTGCAGTGGGGGTTGACACCAGCCTCAGTCTCTCTGAATGTTAAGCAACTGCCTGGGTACCACCCACCCTATGACCCTCCCTGTCCTCCCCCTGCCCATGGGCCAGGAGACGTCCTCTGGGTTTTCAGCAGTCAAGTAACAGGAAATTAGAAAATACAATAGCCAGCCCCAAGCTGCTTCTAGTCACCTACAACAGGTCATGTGACTTGAGAAAATACATTTCACAGTGGATAATATACATATGGATTCCTATTATTCTCACAGACCCTTAATTGATTAAAGAAATGAATGTATGCTTTGTTCATTTAAAAGCCATAGTCTGGGGTTCTGGAATCTTATCCAGGGTACTCAGAAGTATCTCTACATATATACCTAAATACACCTACCATCCGACTTACGACCGAGTTCGGTTCCGAGAAACCGGTCGTAAGTCGAAATGGTCGTAAGTCGAACTTTACTACTGAATATCAACAAAACATTTTTGTAATGACTATTTTATTGTTTTATTTTGGTATTTCATGTTTTACTTTACTTTTTATGTAGTTAGTACTGTATTTTATACTGTAAGGTTAAGGACAAACACTGTGTACAACACAAATAGTTGTTTATTTCCCAGAAATTTGGCATAAAAAACACGGTCGTAAGTCGAGTGGTTGCAAGTCGAGCAGGTCGTAAGTCGGATGGTAGGTGTATTCCTAAATCCTCCTAAATATTGTCTACCAGTCTTCCAGAACCCCAGACTATGGCTTTTAAACAAACAAAGAGTACATTCTTTTTTTTTTATCAATTAAGGGGTTACAGAGAATAATAGGAATCCATATGTATATTATCCACTGTGAAACGTATTTTCTCAAGTCACATGACCTGTTGTAGGCGACTAGAAGAAGTTTGGAGTTGGCTATTGTATTTTCTAATTTCCTGTTCCTTGACTGCTGAAAACCCTGTGCTGCACTACTCAGTTGCTGCCTTGCAACACTGCATAGCTCCTGATGATGCATTGAGAAGTGTGAAAGTACTCGAGCTAAAGATTTCCACCCTCCGTGGCTTGTCTTGCATGTGTACATATGTTACAACAGTAGAAGAGTGTAGTAAATGGACAATGTTTGTGTTGTCTATCATTGTTTAGTAAACAATATACCACTGACACTCTTATAACGAGTATTGTGTTGTATACAAAACCTAGCCAAGCATAGTGTGCATGATTTGGGTGTCATAAGCTACAACAGTCACTGGAAAATGTAAAAAACAAAAAATAAAAAAATGCAGTAAAGTATAAAAAATAATAATCTGATCTGGAGCATACAGCAATCACTGATGCAGCCATCAGCAGGTTAACCCTTTGACTGTTTTGGCCGTATACATACGTCTTACGAGCCAGTGTTTTGGACGTATATATACTCGATAATTCTAGCAGCTTCAAATCAAGTAGGAGAAAGCTGGTAGGCCCACGTGTGAGAGAATGGGTCTGTGTGGTCAGTGTGCACTGTACAAAAAAAATCCTGCAGTACGCAGTGCATGAGAGAAAAAAAAATGACTGTTTTTGGATTAAAACACTGACTTTGAGGTGTATTTTCCTAGAGTATTTATGGTTGCATTCCCGTCTTCTTGGTCTCATTTGATAGAATGGAAAACATATTACAGAATCAGAGATGATTTTGATTAGTTTCATGATGAAAACGACCTTGAAATTGAGCTCAAAGTAGCAGAAATGTTCGATTTTTACCAATGTTCAAGAGTAAAGCAAATCACACCACATGTCCAATACACGTCAACTGGGGAGTCTAATATTCTTTCACTAGTGCACTATTATTATTTATACCATTTTTACAATAATACAGTAGTCTGCATAACAGTAAATCTTCTATTTTTTTGTGTGAATAAAAAATCAAAATAGAAAGCAAGAGTAATATAAGAGGGGCCTGGAGACGTGACTAATGAACAGAGGATACGTTATTTTAGTGCCAAGAATGTCTGCATTGTTTATTCTGCACCCTATTTTGAAATTGGCATTTTTTTAATTTGCATGAAATTGGCCAAAATGACAATTTCTGACCACTTCATTGGGTAGTTAAAATCAGTAAATGGGCAGTGTCTTGTACTCAGTTGATAGAAAAAATGGAGTTCTAAAGAAATAGCTTCGAGTTTCTTCGACTGAAACAATGGAATTGGCCGAAAATAGGGCTCAAATAGCGCTAACTTCGCAGGAGTGTAATTCCATAAGTTTTTGATCAAATTTCGTACTTTCGGTGTCATTACCATTGGTAAGAGATTCTCTTATCATGTCATAAGAAAAAATAATTTTTTTTTCCCAAAAATTTTTTGACACCAGGAGACACTTCAGGATTTGGGGTTGCGACAGTCAAAGGGTTAATGACCTTCAACTTCCCACCTTCACATCTCGAAGTGCTGATGAGAAACTTCTTTTGTTACCTTTGATGAGTTTCAAGTCTCACTACTCTCGCAGCCCGGCAATTAGCCAGGCTTGTCTGGTGCTTGCCTGGTCAACCAGGCTGTTGCTGGAGGCATGTTGGTCTCATTACATAAATAAAAATCTTTCAGCACTTTTGTTAGTAATGTATCAGTGATGTGGTACAGTGGAATAGTATGGGCACCCTGGGCACCCTTATGTTGGCTTGCTGTTGCAGTTGTATCCGAGTAAGAAATTTTTGAGTATGATTCAACAGATTCATAACTGCTGGGTATCAGCGCTCAAGGGTACAACCCAGATTATCATGGTTCAAATACTGCAGTCTTACAGTGTGGACACATCACTGATCTCTTGATGTATCCACACATTCCAACAATAAATGACAGAACTAGAAGCGACTATTACTTTCCGTCATTCTGGGAGAACTCTTCCAAGAGTTAGTCCATCTCACTGCAGCCACCAATCTTGGTATGCGTTACCTGGGCATGGATGCCCAGGTAGGGCATGACAAGAGTGACTTGCCATTATGCAATCTTATAACAACTGATATCACAGAGTGTAGTGTACAGTATCAAGTATTCAGAACAATTACATTTTACATCATTGCACAATACAGCTTTCAATTAATACAAATTTCATCTGAGATTTAAAAAAATACAGGAATAAAATAACATACCATAAATCACCAGTGAATTAATACAACTTGAATAAATCGTAATCCAATATTTTCACCATTAATAGCAATCCTGCCTAAAAATTTAACTTTCTATTAAAATACCAAATGATCTCCATTCCCATATTAACAGTGTAGATCAGATTAACAAGAACATAAAAAAAAATTAAAAGTTTATTAAATAGTCCCCCACGAATTAGGCAAAAGCTTCATCACGTTGAGTACAACAAACAAAACCAGAACAAAACTAAAAAAGCTCTATCTGTTCTTTAAAGATGAGCTACAATTATTAGGCAGTGTATACTACTTTCTTGACTTTAATAAGTAGCCAAAATAGAAAGCATTTCACCATACTCAGAACTAACACATGTGTATAATATAGTTTTATGCAGCACCCTTGTATGGTTGCTAAGTGCAACAAAAGTACTGGCAAGTGGTATTAAAAAACAAACAAAAAAAAAAACAAATTTGCAAGCTATGAACAGGGTGAACCATTTAAAAGATAAAATTACAGGCTGTAGGAAAATAATGATGTTATGCATGCTGCAGTATGAAACCCTCATTCTTAATGAGAGGCTATCTTATTAAAAAAAAAAATTACTAAACATTTTGTTTTAATGTAGAGGAAGTGATCTTTGAAGAGTTTTAGAAAATCAACCTTTAAAATATAATCTAAGTAACTCACCATTGAGAAGAGCAGGGCAATTCCAGCAGAGTAGACAGTGTACAGAATTTTGCTGTAAGTGAAGATAGCAATAATCCCAAACAGAAACATAACCATGGCTGCTACAAACAGATAGATCCCACACCCAGTGAAGTCATACTGAAAGTAAAAGATAATGCTATGTAGATCCCATGCCCACTTTTAATTAAGCTGAAAAGTAGAAGACAATACTTTTTGGTGATACAATATCCAGTGAAATTATTCTGGAATGTAAAAAATAACCTTTCCTTAATCCTAAACAGAGCAAAATAAATCTGAATTTAAGATAAAACTCTATAAATACCACTCCTCGAAATCATTCAGGAAAGCATAAGACAGCACTTTGGCATGGCCTTTATTTTCCATTATATGGATAGCCAAGAATTTTACTAAATCACAAGACTACTGCATGTATGTAAATGCACAAGAACTACCCAACTTCCTTTCTTGCTCTAACTAATCATATCACTTCATTTGACCCAAATTTTAACCCTTGTAAGGTCATTCCTGTCAAAATGTCAAAATTGTAGCTCCTTCAAATCTGGTGGAAGAAAGCTGATAGGCCTACATGTGAGAGAATGGGTCTGCGTGGTCAGTGTTTACCTGGAGAGGGTTTCGGGGGTCAATGCCCCCACGGCTCAGTCTGTGTGTGCAGTATAAAAAAAAATCCTGCACCACACAGTGCATGGAGAAAAAAAAACTCCAACTTTGTGGAGTATTTTCATATGGTATTTATGGTTTTCTTGGTCTCGTGTGATAGAATGGAAGACGTATTACAGAAATGGAGATGATTTTGATTGGTTTCACAATGAAAAGTACCTTGAAATTGACCTCAAAGTAGCAGAAATGTTTGATTTTTGCCGATGTTCAATAGTAAACAAATGACGTCACTGTCCAATGTGTCCAACCGGCCAGTCTAATACGCAGTCATGAATGGGTTGACATTATTTATACAATTATAATAATGCAGCAGTCTGTGTAACAGCAAATCTTATATTTTTGTGAGAATAAAAATTCAAAATAGAAAGAAACATAAGAGGGGCCTGAGATGTGACTAATGAACAGAGAAAATGCTATCTCCTCCTCCATCTCCATCATCTCCATCTCCATCTCCATCATCTCCATCTCCATCTCCATCATCTCCATCTCCATCATCTCCATCATATCCATCCATCATCATCTCCATCCATCACTCATCTCCATCTCTCATATCTCCATCTCCATCTCATCATCATCATCTCCATCTCCATCTCCATCATCATCTCCATCTCCATCATCTCCATCATCTCCATCATCATCTCCATCTCATCTCCATCATCTCCATCTCATCTCCATCTCTCATCTCATCTCCATCTCCATCTCTCCATCTCCATCTCCCATCTCCATCCATCTCCATCTCCATCATCTCCATCTCCATCATCTCCATCTCCATCATCTCCATCTCCATCATCTCCTTCCAATCTCTCCATCATCTCCATCTCCATCATCTCCATCTCCATCATCTCCATCTCCATCATCTCCATCTCCATCATCTCCATCTCCATCATCTCCATCTCCATCATCTCCATCTCCATCATCTCCATCTCCATCTCCATCTCCATCTCCATTCCTCCTCCTCCTCCTCCTCCTGAGCTGTGGTCTGTTGGCATTACACCTCAAGCTCTTGCAGCTCTGTAGTGGTTACTCTTCATCGTCGCCCTCCACTACCTCTTCCACACCCTCGCCACTAACCTTCAACCTCAAGGACTTCCCCAATGCCACAATAGATTCCACAACTGGCACAGGCTCCTCAGGGTCAACCCCAAACCCTCTTGTACACATTCTGGCCACAATTTTCTGCAAGCAGAGTTCGAAGTCCTGCAAGTCACTCCCCCCCAAGCCTTACCTATAAGGATTATGAAACTGAAGATACTGAAGTTATCTTTCCAGAACTCTCTTGCTAGTCCATGGGCTGGAGGAGAGGAGTGGTGTTAGGAGGCAAAAAACTTCACTTTGATGAAATTGAACTCCAGCACCATTCACTCTTTCGAGTCTGGAAGATGAGCAGGAGCATTGTCTAATTCCAGGAGGTATTTTTCACAATGGGGCCAAACACATCATGGAACCAATCATAGAATATGCCCCTTGTGACCCAAGCCTTACCGTTTGCTCTCCACATCACACAATTTAGTCTTGACGACACTTTTCTTTTTGAACACGCTGGGAGTTTCAGTGTGATACACGAGTAAAGACTTAACTTTGCAATCCCCACTAGCATTACTACAAAACAAGAGTTAGCCTGTCTTCATAGGCTTGTGTCCTGGGAGTGCCTTTTCCTCCTGAGTAATGTAGGTCCTGTTTGGCATTTTCTTCCAAAACAGACCTGTTTTGTCACAAGTGAACACTTGTTGGGGTTTTAATTGTTTAGCCTCTATGTACCCCTTAAATTCTTGCACATATTTTTCAGCCGCTTTTTTTGTCAGAGCTGGCAGCCTTATCATGCCTCATCACACTGTGCCACAACAATTCTTAAATCTCTCAAACCAGCCTTTGCTAGCCTTAAATTCATCAATATCAGCACTAGTTTCAGGCATTTTCTTTATGAGATTATGAAACTGCCTTGCCTTTTCACATATACAGGTACCATCCGACTTTCGACCGAGTTCAGTTCCGACCAACTGGTCGTAAGTCGAAATGGACCTAAGTGGAACCCTACTACTGAATATCAACATCACATTTTTGTAATGACTATTTTATTGTTTTATTTTGGTATTTCATTTTTTACTTTACTTTTTATGCTGTTAGTACTGCATTTTATACTGTAAGGTTTAGGATAAACACTGTATACAACACAAACAGTTGTTTATTTCCCAGAAATTTGGCATACAAAACACGGCCATAAGTCGAATGGTCATATGTCGAGCAGGTCATAAGTCGGATGGTAGGTGTAATCGACTGTGAAACATTATCTCCTGATAATTGTTTCTCATTGATCCACACCAACAACAATCTCTCCACAACTTCAAGTATTTGCCATCTCTGTTTTGTAAACATATCTGCACCTTTCGCAACAACAGCTTCTTTGATTGCCTTATTCTTGGCCAAGATAGTAGCGATGGTTATATGGGGTTTGTTATACAACCTGGCCAGCTCAGTGACATGCACTCCACTTTCACATTTTGCAATCTCTTTCTTGAATTCAAGAGTATTTCTCACCCTCTTTACCACAGGGCTGGCACTAGAAGCTTTCTTTGGGCCCTTGGTAGCTTATTTAGCAGTTACCAGCACTAAAAAAATGGAATAATACAAAATGTATCGCTTGTACACGTGGAACAGTCCTCACTGGCTTGTAAACACTGGCACACTGGCTGTACATGGAGTGGCCAAGCCACTCAGGCTGTGCGGACATGTTCGGGACGAATGACTAACCGTGTTCTTTGTCATTAACTGAGCCAATATTTTGATGCAAAAACTTTACTTAATCAGAATTTTCCGTAATCCGATGACATCGTAATCCGGGGGTCCACTGTACTCTAGAATGAATAAAATATGCCATTATGTGATGAGTGGTAGTGGCAGCCATTGCCAATGTCACACTGACCATATCTTCCCATTCTCTTATAAGAGAAATCGGAGTGTTTGTGCGCCTAAGTGCACTAGATCACTAGTTTCGTAAGGAACACACAATGTACATATTTATAAATAAGTAATATTGTATAAAAACATAATAGAGAATGTAAAGAAATAAAATGGTTTTATAAAGTGTACATACATATTTACTTGGGAGAAGAGATGGAGGGTGGAAGATAGGAAGAGCGATGTCCCTCAAACCCACAATCAACACACCTCCACCTCGCTTGTTTATCTATAATTTCATGCTTTAATTCCATGAAAATCATCCTCTTTTTCTTCTCAGCACTGTCCTTTGCACTTACTTTCTTAGGACCCATGGTTAGAAAAAAGAAATTTGGCCAAATTACCGTAAAAATGCAAGCAGAGCATGACAAAAATGCTTCCACAGCGAGGTAAACAGTGCTCAGCGCCAACTAGTAGCAGCTTTCTGAAGTTCCTCCTATTATTATGTATTATTACTATTATATTGTATTATTATTATTATTATTATTATTATTATTATAAGAAGTTAAAAAAAAAAAAAAAAATATCTTTATTTATTACAAGTACATGTACATGGTATACAGGTCTAGCTGACATCAATGACATACTACTACAGTGGACCCCCGCAAAATGATATTAATCCGTTCCTGAGAGCTCATTGTTATGCGAAATTATCATTATGCGAATGAATTTTCCCCATAAGAAATAACGGAAATCAAATTAATCCGAGCAAGACACCCAAAAGTATGAAAAAAAAATTTTTACCACATGAAATGTATATTTTCCTACACACAAAGAGAAGGATACATGCACAATAGTAGAGTAGTACATGCACAATATATACTGTGCATGTACTACTCTACTAAATGAAGAATAAATGACACTTACCTTTATTGAAGATGCAGCAATGACTGAAGAGACAGTGTGTCCTGGGAGTGCCTTTTCCTCCTGAGTACTGTAGGTCCTGTTTGGCATTTTCTTCCAGAAAAGGCCTTATCACACTGTGTATGCCACTACGATTCTTAAATCTCTCAAACCAACCTTTGCTGGCTTTAAATTCACCAATATGAGCACTAGTTCCAGGCGTTTTTCCCTGTTCACCTGGTTGTTAGTCGACTGGTGTGGGTTGCATCCTGGGAGACAAGATTAAGGACCCCAATGGAAATAAGTTAGACAGTCTTCAATGACACTGACTTTTTTGGGTTATCCTGGGTGGCTAACCCTCTGGGGGTTAATTGTTTCTTGGTATTCTCAATAAGCCACACCAACAACGGTGCTACAGCAGCAGCAGCAGCAGCTGAAAGTGCTACAGCAGCAGCAGCTGACAATGCTACAGCAGCAGCTGACGGTGGTACAGCAGCAGTGACGGTGTACGGATGTGCTACAGCAGCAGCTGACGGTGGTACAGCAGCAGCTGACGGTGCTACAGCAGCAGCTGACGGTGCTACAGCAGCAGCTGACGGTGCTACAGCAGCAGCTGACGGTGCTACAGCAGCAGCTGACGGTGCTACAGCAGCAGCAGCTGA